TGGATTGCTCACTGCTTTGTATCCGGCCGAGAATCCGGCCGGTAATCCGGCCGGATTCTGACGTGGTCTGCACTATTCATCTTCGGCGCAAATTTTCATTTTTTTTATTTTGTGTTTTTGACTTGTTTGCGTGCGATGGTAAGTTCCGGAACGTTATAGATCAACGTAAACTGTACCGTAGTCCTGGCGAGAGCTGGACAGGCAGTCCGCTAACCCCTTTGGTTCGCCTTAGGGGAAAGTGGGGCTGTCACAGGTGGTATCAGAGCCACGTCGCGTGGTCTCTGCGCGAAGTGAGACTGGGCCAAGTGGTGTTGTGGTCCTAATTTCATGAATATGTTTAAGTGCTCGTTTGAGCATAAGCTATGAACCTTGAAGTGTTATAGGTCTTTAATCTTTCTCATGATATTTAAGGACCCTAGATAAGTATGTCGGACAGGAATTTTGATTTGTAGATGGTTTACTCTTGGGACTGGCTAGCTCGAGATGTGAACTATCTTATTTCGGATTCTCGTGCCCGAGTACCCCAGAATTGAGGTGATGCAAGCTACTAGGTATTTGAACCCTGTGTTTTGGAAACAAGCCTTGTATTTTGGAAACGTGAACAGGCTTTGTCTGACTAAAATGAGCACAAGAGATCAATGGACATCTAGTTTGGATAGTAAGTGACGTGAGAGACCAGACGGGCTGGTACTGGGATGACTTTCCGACTGTATATTACGCAGTCTATATGTACTATGTTATATGTGCTTACTTGCTTATCCATCTTTTCATATAACGTGTTATATGCACTATGATATAACGTGTTACTTGCTTATAACGTGTTATAACGTGTTACTTGGTATGATAGATTTTGTTATGTTAGTCCATGTATTGCATTCATGCATGGAAGTACCCCTTTTGGAAAAAAAAAAAAAAAACCCGCGGACATGGTCATAGCAGTGACACAAAACGAGACCAAGAGTCAAAGAGAAGAAAGGGAGGAAACAACACCTAAACCGAACATGGACCAAGAGTGCTACTGGTATTCAAGACTTTCTTATGACCCATTGTTTTGCCAACAGGCTACCATCTGAGGTCCAGCAACTCTGTAAAATGGCACGTAGGGTTGAGATGTATAATGAAATCGGGGGTCTTCGAGACGAAATAGAAGTCCAAAAGAACCTAGTCGCATACTGGGAAGGGCGCTGGAAGCACGAGTATACAGAGAAAATTGAGCTCCTGCACAAAAACTTAGAGCTAAAAAGGAAATATGAAGGGATTTCCGAGGAGGCCCTGGAAAAGGCTCAATGCATCAAGAATGCAAAGGTGCAAGTGAAAGCTTCCCAAATACAGAAAAGGGGTGCAGTGGGTAGCGTGAGTGAGGAACCTAGCGAAGCAATGACACCTTCTAAAGTACAGAAAGTGAACCAGTTATTCGGGCCGCCATGGACAATGGGGGCGGTAGATAAAAGATTTGTCAATGAAAGCCAAACCAGACAGGGGGAGATTTCTCCGAAAAGCAAAAAGATGACTTTCCACTTGACTTGTGACTATTGCGGAAAGGCCAATCACACTGAGAATGATTGTTGGAGAAAGGGGAGGAGATGTCTGCGCTGTGGGAGCATCGAGCATCGAATTGCAAATTGCCCGATTAAAGTGCGGAAAAAGAAAAGAACTCAACAACCAACCCACACCGACCCTGCACCGTCAAGTGGAGAAGGGACTGGAATGAAGAACCTCGTTTCTTCTGACTCTGAAGACGGAGAAGGTACAGGCCATTGGTTCCTTTAAATTTGAAGGAAAATTTCGAGGACGAAATTCTTTTAAGGGGGGGAGAGTGTGAGAACCCGTAAAACCCTAATTATTTTCCTAGGGTTTATTTCCCCTTAATTGCATGTTTTCTGCATTTTCTGGCTTAGAACTATTTTCTTAGTGGATTTTATGAGCAATTATAGTTTTAAGATGATTTTTCTAGCATTGGTGAATTTTTAGAAAATTAAGAATATATATTGGATGTGGGACCCACTAGTGCGAAAAGTTCGGAAAAATTCGGCCAATAAGGTTAAGTTTCGGATACTGTGTAAAATTTATCGGGTGTTAAGAGATAGGTAGAGTGTGTGAAGTGATTGTTGTGAGAGAGAAAAGAAAGATAAGAATGCATTTATGGAGGTGACAAGTGTCACCTCCTCATTGGATGAACTTTAAGAAGTACTATTCACAATTTTGACTTTTTTGACCAAAGGTTTATATATCAAAAAAATGCACAAAAATCACCATTTTTCTCTCCTTGTTGGCCGGCCACCTTGAGCAAGAAAGGAAGGAGATTTCTTCAATTTTCATGCTTCTACTTGGTGCAAATCAACCAAAAACATTTGCTTCCATCCATTTCACTCCATAAAATCCTATCTTCTAGTGTTAGTGAGTGTAGTAGTGAAGCTTGTTTGAAGGTTTAAGGTGTCCAACATCCTTCTCTCTCTTGGTTCTTGGTAAGTGAAGCTTGAAACACCCTACTACACCTAATGATGCTTATTTTGTGCTTAATGGTGGCATGAGTGAAGGATTATATGATTTATTTCTTGATTTGAAGAGTTTTGGTGAAGTTTTCCATTTTATGATGAATTTTCTGGTTTCATATGATTTTGATGTTTTGGACTAGTATGATGGTTGGTAATAAGGGGCTTTGGCTCTAGTAGGTGTGAATTGTGGTTAAATGTAACCAATTTTGGATTTGGAATGAAATGTGAAAAGTTAGGGTTCTTGAACCCCTATTCTGTCCGAAATTTTAGGTCATAGCTAGAGGCCGAATTGGCCTTACCTCAAAACATGAAAGTTGTAGGTATTGATGAGTTTAGTGTGCCTGCAAAATTTCAGGGTAATTGGACAAGTGTAGAGTGAGTTATTCCGTTTTTACTGTTGCTGTTTTTGGTGCACAGAATGTCCGAACTGCGATAGTAATTGCCTGTTTTGGCTGGAATTGGTTTGGATTTTGAAGTTGGTGTCTTCTGAGGACATGTAGCTGGATGTCTTAGCTAATTTATGCTTTTGGAATTTCGGCATTTGGACCTGTGTAGGCTGAGATTGACGTATTACAGTTTTCTGTGTTTTGCAAACCTGTTTTGGTGATTCTGGTTTAGTGTTTGGCACTTTTGACCTAGTTGTGCTAGGATTTGGACTGAGAGGCCTTCTACATTGTTGTAGCCCTGTTTCATAGCTTCGAAACGGTGGGTCTTACACCCCCAACCGATAATTGTAGTGAGAGTTGTGCCATTACCGCATTATGACGTCAAAACCGGTTTTCTTATCAAGGCCAACATTAAAGCCTTTCTTAATTTCTGGTTTGCTTTCATGCTTGTATATGTTTATAAAACCCTATTGGGGTTGTGAATTGGTGTTGTTTATGGCTCGGTATGGTTTCTTGTTTTATGATATTGTGAGACTATGGAACGGCTCTTGACATGAAATGCTTATATGTGTGTTGTTGGGTTGTGATTGAAGAAAAATAATGAAGCCTTATGGCTGGAAAATTTGGTAAACACAAAGGGCATGCTGCCCGAATTTTTTACTCGAGATTTAGAAAACTATATTCTCGACTTGAGTAAAGGTTAAGTATTTAACCCTTGAATTTCCATGCATGAAACCCTATTGGGCGATAATTGGTTTGACTTTATGACTCGTTATCGAGTCTTATGGTATTTGTTTACATGTTCTAGGGCGTGACGATAGCTCACGACATTCTCCTGACGGAAGTGCATGAAATAGCACTTAATTGATTGGTGAGTGTACTACTCACTTGTGTGCTATTATATGGCTTTGATATTTGAACTTGAGATGTTGTATGTTAATGGATTGATGTGAGAGTGTACTTTATCACTCTCACTTATTGTTTCACATGTTATTGAAAAGTTATTGGAAAGTTATATGAACTGATATATGAAATGAAATACATGACTTGATATCGATTGGACAAGTATCCAACGACTACAAATGTTATCATTGAGCTCAACCCCATTGGTAGTTGATTGAATCGAGCCGACAAGGGTTTGGTCGTGACAATTAATGAGCCTTGGGTAAAGTTATAAGGAATCTTGTAGTATGAGAGACTCTTGATTCCGGTATACTCGAGTAATACCACAGTGCAAGTGTTTGGAGTGCGGGCCCGGTAGGGGGATGTTTGGTGGAAGGAATGGGAGAGAAGAGGAGTCTACGGTTGGTTACTCTTCAACATTGACGGAGGGTCAATGAGGTTGGATCAAGACTGGAAGCGTGGAAATGGGCTCTTGAGAGCCGTCCGTATCCTTTTATCGATGTGTTTCATTCCTTAATTGTGTACTTGAAATGAAAGGTTATGCTATATGCTCTTAGTTGCTTATGTGGTAGTAACTCACTGGGCTTTAGCTCATCCCGTTCCATTTGTTTTCCTTACAGGAATTATGACAAGTTGAGCTCATGTATATGTATTTTGATTAGCTCCTTGGGAGTGAAAACCCTAAGTGTTTTGATTCACCAATGTTTGGTGTGTAAATGGCTACTTGTTTATGTATGAACTAAATAGCTATTTTGGTATGCCGTTTTGGGTTGACGATGTCGGATTTCCATATGTATATGTTAAATTGATGTTTGGATGAACTTCGGAACGCTTCGGCCTGCATACGGCAGAAGAAAAATTTTTGGCGGAAAGGCTCTGGCCTGAATCCGGCCGGGAATCCGGCCAGTTGATTGGCGGCCGGATTGTGAAAAGTTTTCGAAAAATTTTGGATTGCTCACTGCCTTGTATCCGGCCGAGAATCCGGCCGGTAATCCGGCGAGATACTGGCCGGATTCTGACGTGGTCTGCACTATTCATCTTCGGCGCAAATTTTCATTTTTTTTATTTTGTGTTTTTGACTTGTTTGCGCGCGATGGTAAGTTCCGGAACGTTATAGATCAACGTAAACTGTACCGTAGTCCTGGCGAGAGCTGGGCAGGCAGTCCGCTAACCCCTTTGGTTCGCCTTAGGGGAAAGTGGGGCTGTCACATTTAGGTTCGTCAAAACCAGAAAATGGAACAACATGACATTGAAAAGGACGAGTTCGAATTCTCCAAAAACAACGAAGCCCTAATTTTTGGTCCCGCTTCTCAAATCTCGCGGTTTCGCTATGTCGTCGACATCGGCTGCTGCAGCTTCTTCTTCATCCTCAACGGCGTCGTCTCAATTCACCTACACTACCGGCACGTACTTTCCGACTCCGTTTCACCTACAACAGCCGCAAACCTATGTGGCTGCTGCCGCTGCCGCTTCAATTCTGCAATTTCCTGCTCCTGCTCCTGCGGTTCCCCACGTTTATCCTGCTCCCGCTACAGTCCCTACCGTGTACTCCCTCCCTCAGTATCAACAGGTACGAACTTTTCTATATCCAATCATTAAGCCACGTTGTTTTTTTATATGAATTTTGGATGGAATATTTTTGGAGAGATTTAGGGCAGTGATTTGGGCTCTTTTTCCTCTTCCCCTGACATTTGAATTCCCTTGTCAGCAGCTATGATGAGAAACAATTGATCTTTTTAATTATTGGTAGGAGTCGAGATATGTATACCATTGTTGTCTATGTGAGTGGAGGAACCAGGAAGTCCAATTTTTCGGTAAAATACCCGGTCTGTTCATTTATATATATGGCTTAATTCATTTAGGAAGAACTTCCTAAATTGATTTAGGAAGTTGAATTTAGGCATTAGAAGAACTTTAGGTTAATGTTTTTCTTCTAAAATTATTGACCTTCTTTATTGTTGAGGTGTGATTATTTACTTAAGTTGATATGATAGTGGTGGAGATTTTAGTTTTTAGAAAAGAGGGAGGGGGGGCAATGTAGAAGGTGAAGGGGATTTCACAAATTTTAGGGTGTAAAGGTGGGCCAAATAAAATATTGGGGAAACTTGTCGCGTGGTACCTGATATTATTGTGGAAGTTTGGTGACCCAGGGGTTTTGTATGTGTGGGCAAGAGTTCTTTTTTTTGGGGGGGGGGTTTATATTTGCATCTTAATTTAGGTATAAGTATAGTTTGAGGAAGAGGAATGATGGCAATATTTAAAGTTAAACCAGTCAGTTCTTAATATCTGAAGTTTTGGTGGACAGGCCCAGCAATTATTTCAGAGGGATGCACAAACAATAACACCTGAAGCGCTAGAGAGTGTGAAAGCTGCGCTTGCAAGTAGTGAGATTGAGCACAAGGCCGAGACTAAGAAGAAAGCAGTACCTCGTAAGGCAGCAGGGCAGGCATGGGAGGATCCTACACTTGCAGATTGGCCAGAGAGTGAGTTTCATGTACTCTACTCCTTGTGTGGTTGCATTCATCATTTTTTATGACAATTTTCGCCTGTCTTAATTCCTTCACTGATCTTGTTTTTGCTAGTATTAATGCCTTCAGTATTACTGTTTGTGTTGTGCAGATGATTCTCGTTTGTTCTGTGGTGATCTTGGTAATGAGTTGAATGATGATGTTCTATCCAAAGCATTTTCAAGATTTCCATCTTTTAACATGGCCAGGGTGAGTTATTTGAACTCGTCCACTTTTTATATGTCTCAACCTTCTCTTGTTCGAATTATCGAAACTTTAATTTGTCTCCTTGTCGTGGTTGCCTTTGGTGAGGTTCTGACCTGATTTTGCATGATCCCTTAATCTGATTTCGAAGAAGTGCTTTGATCTGATGTACGAGTTTAAAACTTTGAACTTGGACAACATCTATGGTTATGTTTGTGTGAAATAAGATTAAATTTTGCTAGCATATGATTCTTTAGCTTAAGGGATGCTTGGTATCGAACACTGTTCTGGCTGATCATACTGGTGCTTCTACCATCATTTTTATAAAAGAGAGAAATTTAAGAATCTCTCATGCCTCTGAGCTCTTGAATCTGTGCACTTTTGTGTCTGCATCCACACTCGTCCCTTTTGTCGTGACAAATGCCCCTTGTAGTTAGTCAAACATAATATATATTATCTGATGTTTAAAGGAGAATGATTAATCTGCTTAGTCATACTGTCTTTTGTTCAGTGCATTACTTGACAGTGTTGGTACTGTGATCACTACTGTATGTAATGTTGCCTGGACGACGAGCATTAGTTTCAGCTTGTTGGCAATGTTGGCTGTTCAGGCACCAGTTAGTGATTGGGAGTACAATGCTACGCTCCCCAAAACTGCTTCAATGATTGATTTGGCTTCAAAAATAATGATGACTTGTTTAGCACTGACTTAAGTGAGGACCAGCTGAGGCAGAGACTTGGACACATGTCCCACACACCTTGTCAAGTAGGAAATTGCAGTACATAGTTATGTCCAATATCTATAATTTTTTCCATCGCATTTGATAGACCAAAGGCTATATTTCTAGCATGACATGATTTCCAGTAGGTTGAATTGCTTGAACGCAAACTATTTCCTGTGGTGTTATTATATTATTATTGTTGCAATTTTTTTCCTATCATTTTCCAATCTCAAATGCTCAAGAATTGGAAAAAAAATTTCTGTTTCCCCAGATCACTGTATACACTTTTCTTCATCCCTTCAATTTCTCGGCTGTTTTCTCTTCTTCTGAAGGATTGGCACTAACCTCTACTAAAGCATAGCCGGACTGCTCCACCTAGAGATGGCTGAAGGAAGTGGAAATGAGGAGACAACTCTTGAGCATACATCAACATGGGCAGTGGTAGTTGTTTGTTTCATCTTGATGAGCCCAAACAATGTACTATATATATACTATACCTCTCGCGGATCGTTGCTAATATTGTACAATTACGTTACCTGACTTTTAGCATTTCTTTCAACTTGTTAGGGATGAGAGTCTTTTTGTTTGTGCACAAGAAAGTCTTTCAAGTTATTGTAAATGAGAATCTTTCGGTACTTTATTGGGATTTTAGTACTTGCTTTGAGCACTTGTTTGCGATTTTAGTACTTGCTATGTTTGTACTTGTTATCGACTGTTAATTCAATGAACTATATTTGAGTATCGACTTCTTCTTTTAAATTGCTATATGCATTATGCTCTTTGAGATAATTTTACAAGTCCCTTGGGATTCTGGTTGATGGAATGTACAGCAGGGAGGACTAATTGCAGGTTGCTTCCATATAAAAAAAAACAGGGAAAAAACTCCTGGCAATTAAAAGTGTCAGCATAGCTTAACTTCGAAAAACACTAATGACAAATGGGCATGTCGTCCAAAGCAGTGTAAATTCACATGGCTACATGTCCTTAAAGTCATATATTAAGACAACTAAAGATGCCTTCATAAATTGGATATACTACTAATCCGCTACTGATGTTCTAATGCTATACGGACACTTTCGATTATCACAAAAAAAAGTTTTTGTTGGCAGAGGGAATGCTATAGCAGCATGGTTTTCCTGACACGTTTGAATGTTGCTAAAGATTTGAGGCTATCCCCACATTGGAAGGGACAACACTCGCCCTAGGTGTGAGGATAGATAAAATGTCAGGTTAAATTGTCTATACTGACACTTTTAAATGCCGCTAAAGGCCATTTTTGTTGTAGTGATTGACATTGTCATAATATATCCAAATTGTCCACTTAATCGTGTACGGGTTCTTTTAGAAATAACCTGTACAAGCTTTAGAGATAATTCTTGTCCATAACTCATACAAGTTTAAGAGCTGATTCCCATCCAACGTAATATTTAGTATGTAGTCCGCAGCCTCTTGTAGTAGAAATGACTCATACAGACTTTTAAAATGATTCTCTCCATAAGTATCGACATCGTTATGATCCAAACCGTTAACTTATCACTCATACAGGCTATTTAGTTGTGCGCAAATTCTCCTAGAAATGACTCGTATAAGCTTTAGAGATGATTCATGTCCATAAGTATGACTTCTATAGGGGATAAAAATGGTTTCCGTCCAACATGGTACTCAGTACTTAATCCCGTAACCTCTAGTATATAGTGGCCCCTGTTGAACCTAGCCCTTAGCCGTGGCCTGCACTTTTTTTTTTTTTTTGTCAGACTTTTTCAAGTTAGCAATTAAACTTAATCCCAAAGTTAACCTCAAAAGCCGACAATTCTTGAGGCAATCTTGAAGATTTAATTACCCAACCCTCAAATCCCTTAGAAGCGATATGGGACAACGGGAAGGTTAGTAGGGAAGCATCTACTAGCGGTGTGGCCTGCACTTAATTTCGTGCACTCTCTTGCATTTTGTAGTATCTAACAGTGGCCCCCATCGAACTTGACCCTTAGATTCAAGCTACACTTAGTTTCTTGCACTTCAACAAACACACGTTCACCCTCACCTTGCGCATAGATCACGTGACGAGATTTATTTTGATACCATTTCTAACGTTTCAAGTTGACCAAACTGACCCAATAACTTTTTGAACAAAGATCATGAGTTTAACATGATTAATCGAAAATCACTAATAATTCAATGGACTCAGTTATATTACACCAACCCTTTCTTCCAAAAGGTCTCAATGTGGAACGGAACTGAGTCTCGCAACCAGTCTACAGTACTGGTCGCTATGTAGCCAGCCACCAGGTGTCGGCTCTGTGACCTATCACAATTCACATCTACCGTAAAAGACAAGGCACGAAAGAGAAGTGAACGCCAAGCTCGACTCCAACTCTCCACTGTCAAAGTATCAGCCAAAATATCAAGGAAAAAATTATTGCTACAATTGACTAATCGTGAAAAATTAGTACTTTATTGAATAAAACTAACCACTTCTTTATTAGCAGAACTTACTAGCATATTGAACTAATCAACACTACTTTTTAACAAAACATCCGGTCTCATCGAAAAATTTCACTAACATAGCAAAAATTTATTGATCCATTAAGGGGTCTTATTAATTTCAGAGCAAAATTTAGTGTTTTTTTTTTTACAAAATTTACTAGCTTATTGAAAACTAATGTCAATTTCTAGTGAAACTTACGAATATTTTTGTGGCAAAACTAATTACGATCATTTAAAAACCATCATGATTTTTTGGCAGAATTTACCTTTTTTTTCTTTAATATTGACTAACTAGATTAATCCTTCATACATCTTCAACATAGGAATTCTTTTTACATGATAATATCTTCAAATTTCATCACAAAGATTATACTTATCCAAAATTAAAATTCATCACAAAGATTAGGATGATAAGTAATATTTTTTCCCTAAACCTGGTATTTTGCTAACAAATCATCAGCTTGATATAGACAAATTTTTGGAACAAGTTTTCCCCCTATTGCTATCACTGGCTTCTCCCATATTGGATTGTTGGAGAAATTGTAGTAAACAACAAAACTAAACTAGACAAATGCAGAGACTTTGAGGTGTGAAAGCACTTTTCTTAAGGTGTTATTTGCCTTTATTAGACAAATTACCTCTAGGATACAACAAAGTCTAAGAACTATCAAATGAAAAGTAAAAAAGTGATTTAATTCTGTCGAAATCCTACTATTTAAAAGAATTGAAACACCTATCCAAGGCACTATCAGAGGATGCAATCCTTATTGAATAGGTGTATAGGTGGTTAACCAATTAATAGATATGTCTACAAAATGTAACCGTCAACCGCCATTAACTACCCTTATCAGAAAAGCCCCAAGGTGCCCCAAGCGCCCAAGTGCCCTTGTCAAGATTTTATATATCTTGAAATAACTTTCCCACCAAACTTTCCCTCCAAAGTAATATTTTGGAACAAGTTTGTAAAAGAAACAAGACAATAATTCATATATAGACAATGTGCACTCTATCCTTTTTCAATGTGGGACAATGAACTTCAACACACTCATTACAAACTATTACCAACAATCCCCCACTTAGTTTGTAATGAAATTAAATCAGCACTCACATGACCTTGCATAGAGAAAGGTGTTTGTGAACTTAAACCCTTCTCTTAGTGTAAATATTTCACTTGTTCTAACAAGTTATGGTGGCTATGTTGCTTAAACCATAACTTTAAAGTTAAAACAGAAATAGCACACACAAGATTATATCTTTTCGGAGAATAGTTCACGAAATGATTTTAGCACTTTTACTGGCCGTTTGCTCCATCCTAGGTTCATAATCATGTACAAAAGAAAACCCCCACTGTTGCTAAGAGCGGCACCACTCCCATGATCATATAGGTGAAGTACATTTCGAGCCTTTATTACCAAGGCACTATGAACCATATTTAACTTCATTAAGAGTATGATACTCAGCCTCTTAAGTAACAAATTGCACTAGTACCTTGGAATGGTATAATACAATTTTTAGTGCTCACAACCACTTATTAGTAACTTGTTATTACTCTTTAAACCTTTGACCTAGTGTTAGTGCTAGAAGAGAGGTTGGGTTACCATTACTAGTGGTTTTAGACAACGGGTTTTAACCCCATTCCCAATGACGTTGCTTACACTACATCTCTTGAGAGAGCTTTAGTGAATGGATCCACCAGATTGTTGAATGATCTAACATACACCACTGTGACTATACCATCATTCAATAATTGTTTGACATATTCATGTCTTAGACTTATATGTCTAGATTTGCCGTTATATATTCTATTTAACGCTCTAGACATAGTGGCTTCGCTATCACAATGCAAAGAAATGGCTGGCATTGGTTTTGGCCACAACTCGATGTCTAACAGTAAGTTTCTTAGCCATTCGGCCTCTTTGCATGTAGCTGCTAAGGCTACAAATTCAGCCTCCATGGTGGAATGAGTTATGACTGTTTCTTTGATGCCCAAGAAACAACATAGCTTTCCAAATCTTTGTTATAGGAAAGCTCCAAATCTTCAAGTACAACCGGAAATTTGTTATAGGAAAGCTCTAAATCTTTTGTCCTTTTAAGATATCCAAACACTCTACTTATAGCTTTCCAATGCTCTATACCAGGATTCTTAGTGTACCTAGCAAGTCTACAAACTGCATATGAAATATCTGGCCTAGTACAATGCATAGCGTACATTAGGCTACCAATTGCACTAGCATACTCTAATTGAGCAACCGGCTTTCCAGAATTTTCAAACAACTTAAAGTTAGGATCATAAGGAGTGCTTACTTCTTTTATCTTCAAATGTTGATACTTGTTCAAAACTTTCTCAACATAATGAGATTCACTTAAAGAATAGCCTCCACTATGTTTCTTAACTTTAATTCCTAAGATAGTATCTACTTTTCCAAGATCTTTCATATTGAATATAGAAGACAAATACTTCTTAGTTTCTTCAATGCCTTTGTAATTAGTACCAGCAATTAGCATGTCATCCATATATCGACAAATTATCACACCATACTCTCTAGTGAACTTGGAATAAATGCACTTATCACATTATTATATTTAAAACCATTAGAGAGTATAGCAGATTCAAACTTTTGATGCCATTGTTTAGGTGCTTGTTTTAAACCATATAAAGATCTTATCAGTTTGCAAACTTTCTTTTCATTTCCTGGTAGAACAAAACCTTCTGGTTGATCCATATACACCTCTTCATTTAAGTCACCATTTAAAAAGGCCGTTTTTACATCCATCTGATGTACACACAAATCAAACATTGAAGCCAATACTAATAGTACTCTTATAGATGTAATTCTAGCCACTGGTGCATAAGTATCAAAATAATCGATTCCCTCTTTTTGCCTAAATCCTTTTGCAACTAATCTTGCCTTGAAAGTTTGTACAGATTCATCAGTAGCATATTTCTTTCGAAATACCCACTTACAGCCAATTGGTTTAGAACCCGAAGGCAAATCAACTAGGATCCAAGAATGATTACTCAATAATGAATCCATTTCATCATTAATTGCCTCTCTCCAAAACGATGCATCTCTTGATTTCAGAGCTTCACTAAAAGTTTTAGGATAATCTTCTACAGTTAACAAGACAGGAATCTTGTCAAGTAGAAATTGTCTATCGCCTTCAACTAAGAAAACAATAGCTTGTGAATCTAT